TGTTGTTTTTAAATGCTGTTGAGTCAGTTCTGACTCATAGCGATCCTGTATAGGGTTTCAGAGAAATGGCTGGTGGGTTTGAACTGCTGACCATGGGTTAGCAGTCCGATGCTTATCCTACAATGCCATACCAGGACTCCGTTACAAAAATAGTATATACTTTCTGTAAAAATCTGTAGAGCTTTGATATTGTAGATGTAAACAGGAAATGTGGATTGGCGCTCCAGTGTGGCACTGTAGGATTAGCATTGGTCTGCTAACCTCAAAATCCACAGTTGAAACCCACCAGCCACTCCTTGGAAACTCTGTACAGGGTTGCAGTGAGTCAGAATGAACTTGATGGCATTTAACAACAATAGCAACTCTTCAAATGCCTGAAGGCTGAAGACCTTTCAGCATTTCCGATTATCAGTAGAAAACTTTGACACCACCATGTCAGTAATTAAGGCTTTTGACACCACTGCAAACAATTTCATCGACAGTTTAATTTTGTGTTTTGTTTCTTCCCAAGAACCTGGGCCCTTTCCTGGCATTGTGGACATTTCTGGAGCTGGAGGCGGCCTTCTGGAGTACCGAGCTAGTCTGCTCGCTGGCAAGGGCTTTGCGGTGATGGCACTGGCTTATTATAACTATGAAGACCTCCCCAAGGGCATGGAAACTCTCCACCTAGAGTACTTTGAAGAGGCTGTGAACTACCTGCTCAAGCACCCTGAGGTTAGTTCTTCTCTAAGCTTTTGTGAGCTCAAATTAGATTTCATTCTCCTTAGTTCTATTGCTTCTCACAGAACTTTTCCAACCACTCTCTACCCCACCACACATTCTGTTTTCTTTAATTTTTATTGTGAATTGAGTGATAGCTTACATGGGAGAACATTGGTTTTACACTCATCATTTCATTGCAATGATTACAATCTCCTCTGTGCATCATCATTCAACAGTATTTGCTTCTATTCCCTCTGTTTGTTTTTTTCTTGGGAGGTTGGGGGGATGTACACAATAACACTCAGGAATATATAATCATTTAAACAATCAAAGGGCACATTCTGCAAGCCTGCCTCCTGGCTTCCAGCACCCAGTCTTTCTCTTTCCATGAGTCTATAGTCCTCATCTGCTCTCTCGCATGTCCTCATCTCTGCCTACATCTCTGATGTTGCTGCTTCTCTGGATAGGGTCCCACATTCCACTTATGCTCTTCTTTCTTGATGGTCCTAGGATCCTCTGTTGCTGAACTGTAAGATTAACTACTCCCCACTTCTGTTACAAAACTTCTATTTTTACAGTTGTGACAGTTGCAATTAGTCATGATAACAATGATTGATTATTGAATCATAAGAATCTTATCCCCATCTCTTTTAACCAGACCTATCTAGACAAGATGAAAACTCTTCAGTGGGGATTCTGCCTTTCCCCACACACTCTAAAACTAAACTCCCTCTTGAAAACTTGTAAGCCAGTCACTTCATGCTTTTATCACCCCCTCATTTTAGGTAGCCAGTGTCTAAGTTGCCTGTCCCTATTAACCCTATATACAGAGGGGATAGCATTGATACCTGATGTGAAGACTCCTTCTCAGTTGATATTTTGAGCTACTACATCCATAAGTCTAGGTCAAGCTCATCAAATTGTAGCGACTAGTTTCCTTTATCAAAAATTGTTTTTTTGTATCTTCCTCTCCTCCAATTCTTATCATCAAGCCATCTAAGCTAGGTCAGTTGGGTAATATTTGTAAGTTTGGGTGTTCTTGTGCATCTCTGGAGCCTCATGAATATCAGCTGGATGCTACACTCTCAGCTCTAGCCTTCTGTGGCTATGTCCTTGTTCAAGGGCTCTGGATCCCTGAGTTCTCACTACACTTCAGACCAACCAGCCTTCTTCTTCTCTCTCTCATCTCCAGGTCAACAGCAGTCTATGGAACATGGTTGAACTCAGCCCATTTCTTCATTGCTGCCTTTCCCCCTCTTCCACTCACCAGTAGACCAGTATGGTCATCAGCAAGCTTACATGCGGGCTCGTGTGTTCCCTTTCAGTTTCAGTCTTGGAGAGGGCACACATCCTTTTATATACCCTTTTCATTGACAGTTTCTACACAATTATATATTACTATATAGACCATAGCAGTTTTAAACTACCAGCTGTTCCATGGGAGAAAGATGAGGCTTTTTGCTCCCGTAAAGATTTATAGCCTTGGAAACCCTGTACAGGGTTGCTATAAGTTGGAACTGATTCCACGGCACATAACCACAGCCATATAGACCATAGAAGAATTGATGCATTTGAGTTTTGATGTTGGAGAAGAATACTAAAAGTACCATGGACTGCTAGAAAAACAAACAAATCTGTGTTGAAAAAAGTACAGTCAGAATGCTCCTTAGAGGCTAAGATGGTGAGACTTTGTATCACATACTTTGGACATATTATCAGAAGGGACCAGTCCCTGGAGAAGGACATCGTGCTTGCTAAAGTGGAGGGTCAGGGAAAAAGAGGAAGACCCCCAATGAGATGGATTAGCACAGTGGAAACAGCAATGGGCTCAAGCGCAACATCGATTGTGAGGATGGCATAGGAGCAGGCGTTGTTTTATTCTGTTGTGCATAAGGCACCTAACAACAGCAACAACATGCGTCCTGCTAGGTGCTGTTGAGTCGATTTTCAATTCATAGCAACACCATGTGACAGAGTCGAACTGCCTCATAGGCTTTCTTTCAAAGTTGTAAACTCTCTGGAAGACGATTGCCAGGTATTCTGCTCCATGGAGCCACTATTGGGCTCAAACTGCCGACCTTTTAGTAAGTAGTTGAGTCACCATGGGTCTTTTAGTTGGTATTGGGAATTTAAAGATCGAGTGTCTTATAGTGTTTAATAGTGGCCAAGACATATTTGAATACCTTGGGTTTGATATACAGGAAGTAAGGAACTCACTGTCTCCAGAGGCTCCTGTTGAATGCAATGTTTGTATTTAGCAACCTTCACCTTCCACTGGGTCCTGAATATGTGAGAGCAGAGAATTACAGTAAAATTTAAAGGAGGAACTGTGCAATCAGAGATCCTGGGTACTAGGAATATTGTGAGGGTTCTAAGCTCAGGGTATTAGAGAATCAGAAGAGAGATGTTACTTATTTTAAAATCAACCAGAGCTTAATGTGGAAATGAGATGTTTAAGAGAATAGGGTACAGTGGAGCCAGGGTGTACACAGAAGCAGGGTACAGTTTTTTGATTTTGCCAATCACAAGCTCTATAACCTTTGGACCTCTGTTTCCTCATTTGAGTAATTGGAATGATGGTCATAATATCATCTATATCCTAATATTTTTGTGAGGAGTAAATAGGAAAAAGCAGAAGAGAGAAGTCTTGAGGAAAAAAAGATGAGTGTTGAAAGTTCAATCAAATAGCCATTTGTTTGGACCACAGTGGTCACTAGTAGCTGATGAGAATAGTCCTTGTGGAACTACCCTGAGGAGGAGTGAATAGAAAATGGAAGACAAGGAAGAGAGCAAGGACAGACAGCGTTGGTTTCTGTGGAGGGGAATCGAGAATTAGGGTAGTACCTGGAATGTCTGCGGGGTGAAGGGCTTATTATGAGAGGGTTTCAAAATGTTTGTGGAAAAAATGGAATTAAAAGAGAGTGGATTTTCCCCCAAGAACTTTTGGAAGCCCCCTCATGTTAAAAGATAAACAGCACTTTCATGGGAATGAGCCAGAAGAGACGTTAGGAAGGAGGACAGGAGGAGAAGTGGTTGCTCAAGGGAAGCCTGTAAAACCAAGTGGACAGGACGGGACCTAGGGCACAAGTGATAACCTGCAGTCTGAACACAGGGCTTTTGAGAAATACCAGGGAAGGCAGAGAGCAGACGTTATGTAGAAGCACATGGATCTGGCAGTGAGTGGGGAAATGAACATTTGTGTTGCCTTAATGAAGTATGAAAAGCTGAAAATGAGGAGAAATTCAGGTTGAAGATCTTTGAGGAGGGAAGAAGGTGTGAAAATGATCGTTTGGAGAAATGGACAACAAACATATTCGTGAAGTGTGGTAGGAGCAATGGGCCACATGGGCGCACATATGAAATTTATGGTAAGGTCTGTCCACACATACGTGTATTTTTTTCCCCAGCATTCTTCAATTGCATAAACACAGACTTGGAGGAAGTAGATAGTAGATTTAAACAGGGTTAGCACTTTTCCAAGCAAGCAGGACCAAAGGAAGAGATGTATTAAAGAGTTTAGAGAGTTGAACATGTTTGTACATGACTGACGATAATTATGAAGCATGAAATGTGAACTAGATGAGGAGGGAAGGAAGACTATGAGGGAGGCATTGATAGTGGGAAAGTGTTAGTCAGAGTCTCCAAGCAGGGGAACTAGTTCTGGTATAGGTGGCTTTAGAGTGGCAGCAGGCAGAGGGTGGGATGTTTGAAGGTGACATTTTGGAGATGGTGTAGTTACTGACGATGACTACCAGTGGAGTCCTGGTTTGGTGCTACAGTATAAGTACTGGATTGCTAACTTCAAGGTTGGCAGTTCAAACCCACCAGCTGCTCCTCAGAAACCCTACACAGGGTCACTGTGAGTCATACCCAATCCAACAGCACTTAACATCACCAACAAAGTGTAGGCAATGACAATGAGAGTGGGTGACTGAGATGGAGTAGAGAAAAAGATCTTGAGGTATGGAGGTCAAGGAACTGAGAATCCAATATATTTGGTATGTCATCCACATGGATATTGAAGTCACCAAGAATTATAGTGGAGAAATTGTGGAGAGGAAGACAAGGTGGAAGGAAGGATAAGTAAATTTCCCAAGATTGCAAACCTGGGAAATGGTAGAACCTAGATTCAAATTTAAGACTACCTGACTTCCAAGACTAGCCACTCCCCAAACTAGATCTAAATCATTTCTTGGGTTTGTCTGAGTGGTATTATTGACAAGCACCATGCTACGTGCTCTACATATGGTTTCTCATTTGATTTTCACATCAGCTTTGTAGCCTAGGAGTTGCCTCATTTTACTGATGAGGAAATGGAACTTTCTACCATTTTAGTAACTTTGCTAAGGTGACAATATTGGTAGAGCCCAAAACCAGGTTCAGTGATACCTGACTTCTAAGGCTTGTTACCCTACCGCACTGGATTCATTCTCCTTCTCTTGCCTCTGTCCCATTCTCAGGTAAAGGGCCCAGGACTTGGACTACTTGGAAATTCTAAAGGGGGCGAACTCTGCATCTCTATGGCCTCATTCCTGAAGGGCATCACAGCCACCACTACAATCAATGGCTCTGTGGTCAATGTTGGGGGAACCTTACACTACAAGGGTGAGACCCTGCCCCCGTTGGGCATTAACCAAAATCGAGTTAAGGTGACCAAAGATGGCCTTGTAGACATTGTGGATGCCCTCAACAGCCCTTTGGAAGGACCTGGCCAGAAGAGCTTCATTCCTGTGGAACGGGCTGAGTGCACCTTCCTGTTCCTTGTGGGTCTGGATGATCACAACTGGAAGAGTGAGTTCTATGCTAATGAGGCCTCTAAACGCTTACAGGCCCATGGGAAGGAAAAGCCCCAGATCATCTGTTACCCTGAGACTGGCCACTATATCGAGCCTCCTTACTTCCCCATGTGCCGGGCTTCCCTGCACACCATGGTGGGCCATCCTGTCATCTGGGGAGGGGAGCCCAGGGCTCATGCCATGGCCCAAGTGGATGCTTGGAAGCAACTCCAGACTTTCTTCCATAAACACTTGGATGGTGAAAAGGAGCCAATCCCAGCAAAACTATAACCTTTGAGTAGATTATGTGGCACCTCTCATTCTAAGGTGCCTGAGAGCAGCTGCCACACTTAGTGTCACACATTAGTGTTTACTAAGTAGTTCTCACATGCACTGTTACAATGAAAACAATTGCCAACTGTAAAAGAAATGCATATAATATAAAAATATATATCGGATTTGCACTCCTTCTTTATGGATAGAAGCTAACATCTTAGCGGTCAGTTGATTACTAGTTAAATGTAAAACTACTAAAAAAATGTCAAAGTAAAGACATTTTTAGTTCTTTGATTTGATATATTCTCCTTGAATGAACAAGGATTCTCCTAGTGCAAATCAGTTTTAAGTTATGTTCCTGTTTACACGTATGGGCATTTCTGGTTTGAGAGAACTCATACTCAGCGCTGGTATTGAAACGGTTACACACTCAGCTGCTAACCACTCAGGGACTCCACAGCAGAATGGCCTGCCCATCTGTTCCTGTCACCATTGCAGCTTAGAAAACCCAAGGGGAAATTCTACTCTGTCACATGAAGTTGGAAAGAGTTGGAATTAATGGCACCTAACAACAGTAACACAGGAGCTCTGGTAGCGTAGTGGTTACGAATCGGGCTGTGAACCGCAAGGTCACCAGTTCGAAACTACCAGCTGTTCTGCGGGAGAAAGATGAGGCTTTCTTCTCCCATAAAGATTTACAGCCTTGGAAACCCTGTACAGGGTCGCTATGAGTCGGAACCGACTCCCTGGCACATAACAACAACAGTAACATGGCTTAGCTGTTTCAAAAGATGGCAAAACATTATTTAGATCAATTACATAAGTCATTTTAGAAATGATTCTGTGGCGGTGTTGGGTCAGCACTGGACTTCAAACAACAAGTTGGCAGTTCAAACCCGCCCACTGCTCCTCGGAAACCCTATACAGGGTTGTTAATGAGTCAGAACCAACTCAACAGCACTTAACAACAACAACAATGTGAAAATAAATGATGATTTGATACTTGAACCGCTTGACATAAAGTTCCATTATTTATTAAAGATGTATTTATTAACTGTATTTGAACTAAAAAATACCTTAATTGATGATTGTGAGGTTCTGTTTCTTTTTAATAAAGCACTTCCTGAAACTCAAAACAGTGGTGGTGGTTGTGTGCCATGGAATTGGTTCCAACTCATAGCGGTCCTGTATGTGGTTTCCGAAGCTGTAAATCTTTATGGGAGCATAAAGCCTCATCTTACTTCCACCAAGCAGCTGGTAGATTTGAACTGCTGACCTTGTGGTTAGCAGCCCAACTCATAACGTACTACATTACCAGAGCTCCTTCCCCAAACCGTACAGTGCTGTTTTTGTTTTGTCAGCATTTCCTTATACACCATTGTGTGTTAGTCATGTAATCCTCAAGCGCTTCTGAGGAAAGTATCATCTCCATATTACAGACAAGGACACTTGAGTCTCAGAGATGGGGCTCAGTATCCCCAAATCCAGTTTCTTCTCCCTTTACTAAGCTGCTTTTCTTACACGCATGGGTCTTCAGTTTATTTGGGTACAGGGCTCATTGTGAAGCCATTTCTGCCACTTCTCAGTCCACCCAGTAGAATGCACATTCGTGTGTTCACTTCTACACACCAAGTGTGATTTCAGGTGCATCACGAGTGCCCTCAAGCCCCTCCATACTCCACACAGGACAACAGCTGCAGCCAGAGGAAAAAAGAAATGGGTCTTCTTTCTGTTATTCCAGTTCTCAATAGAACTTCTGGATTAGGTGTATGTACATGTATGTTTCAAGGTCTCAGGTATTAAAAATTAAAGAATAGTTCTGGAACCATGTTTAAGCCCTGGTCTTGACATGATAGTCTGAGTTTAGAGAAGGTATATGGATGACAACCAGCCCGCTTCCCGTGATTGGAACTATGTAAAAGTGGTTTGTCCTTCCTTCCTTCTTTCCTTTCTGTACGCATCAGCCAAGAGGAGGGGGACAGCCTAATGTTAGCCTACCCTTCAAGGAAACTGACTTTTATCAAGCTCGAGCCTCAGGCTTCTGTAGAGATTCTGGGGTTGGCCATAAGAGGTATGCGAACACAGCAGAGATTTGTTAAAAACCCTATGGGTCACTATGAGTTGAAACTGACTCCATGTCACTTAACCTAAAATTAAAAACCCACTGTCATTGAGTTGATTCCAATAATGACCCTATGTGGGGCTTCGGAGACTGTATATCTTCGTGGGAGCAGACAGCTTCCTCTTTCTCATACAGAGCTCCTGGTAGGTTTGAACCACCAACCTTGTGGTTAGCAATCCAGTGCTTATCCTGTAGTGCTACTTAACATTAATGATCAAGGCAGACTGTAGACCGAGTGAAAAGAATTCAGAGAGATAGTGACATTCGATGTGGATCTTAATGAACTAATGTTGTTGTTAGATGCTGTTTAAGTTGGTTCTAACTCATAGCAACCCTATGCACAACAGCAAAAACACTGCCCAGTCCTACGCCATCCTCACAATTATTGTTACGCTTGAGCCTAGTATTACAATCCATCTCGTTGGGGGTCTTCCTCTCTTTCACTGACCCTCTACTTTACCTAGCATGATGTCCTTCTTCAAGGACGGATCCCCCCTGAGACCATGTTCTGGCTTCTAAGGAGCATTCTGGCTGCCCTTCAAGGCAGATTTGTTTGTACTTTTGGCAGTCTACTATACCTTTAAAATGTTTCCTCCAACACCATAACTCAAATGTCTCAATTCTTCTACAGTCTTCCTTACTCACTGTCCAACTGCCACATGCATGTGAAGCAATTGCAAATACCAGGCTTGGGTCAAATTGTACCGAAGGAACTGATAGCACTTCCTTTTTCTGGATGTAATTAAAATTTATAGAAAAATTTGGAAAATAGAAAAATTATACAGTAGAAAATTAGTTCTCTATAGTTCTATCACTTAGATACTAGTATCCTTAATGTGGTATATTTCCATTTTCCACCAGGCTTTTATTTTCTGCATATGCATGAGTATTTTAGAAAACTGTGATTTTGTTACATGTATTGAAGTTGAATCATTGTGTTTACCTCAATATAATATGGTGAGCATTTTACCGTGTCATTATTATAGTCTTTAAGCACATGATGTTTTAAAGAACAGTGAACTCTGTGGTTGAGAGCATGGCCTGCCTTTGCCATTTCCATCCAGGGTGCCTAAGCTGGGATTTGGGTCTCATGGTCTCTTCTTGTCACAGAAGGTTCTCTGTTCTAAGCTCATAGTAACTTTTTCTATCTCCATGACTTCCTGGGGCTAATCAATTGTACTAAAGTAACTAATGTTGTACCTCTTATTGTTGTTAAGTGTCGAGTCATTTCTGACTTATAGTAACCCTGCATAGAGTTTCCAAGGAGTGGCTGGTAAGTTTGAACTTCCAGCCTTGTGGTTCAAATCAACCTTGTGGTCTAGTACTTTATCCCACAGCACCTCATGGGGAACAAATGTGCACGTTGGTCTCAGGATGATCAGACTGTGTGCATCTCCCTGTACCTCTCCCTTCATCTTGCTTCCATGTAGTCCAGCACATACATCCCTTCACTTTAATCATGTAAGTTCCAGACCTGAGGTCCTCTTTCTCCTCTCATCCATGGTGCATGAGGGGCATGCATGGAAGTGACAGCACATTATACTTCTGATGGGAGCCTTTGGGAGAACCTAGCTCTTGATAAACCCCTACCAATGACTGTAATAAAAGCCCATGACAATGCATTTGGATCATTCTGATCCAAAGAGCCTTGCACTATACCATCTGATTTCTTTTACTTTGTACATTGCATATATTCCATCAACTGGTGGTGATAGTCATTGTTGTGTGCCATTGAGTCTGTTCCAACTCAGAGTAACCCTGGATAGGGTTTCCAAGGAGTGACTGGTAAGTTTGAACTGCTGCCCTTGCAGTTAGCAGTCCAGTGCTTGTCCTTGTTTCAGACCTTTGAATTGTTGAGCTTTTCATCGTAAAGTTGGGTGCAGTGGTGAAGGGATGTAGATAGTCAAATCTTAGTAGTGTGTTTCACTGATTACTCCTTTAAACAGAGACTCTCTGAAGTGAGTTACTGAGTCAAAGGGTTATGAACAGTTTTGTGCACACATTTTAGTATGAACAGTTTAGTATGCACACCAGAATTAATCATTATACCACTAGGAGTACAGTATGAGACAGCCTTGCTGTATTGTACCGTTACCAATATTATAGTATATGAGTGTGTACAATCTTTTCATTTTTACAAATTTGAAGGTTTAAAATGAGTGTCTCATGTTGTTTTGCTTTTTGTTATAAGATTGAACATTTTCATCTTAAATTGGGACAATATTTCTATTTTTTTCATTGCTGGTCCCACTTTTTCCAGAATGTTCATCTGTTTCTTACTGACTTACAGCAGCATTTCATTATGTACTAAGGAAGCAAACTGTTCTTATAATCCCTATTTTGGTTGCTGCAATGATCATAACCAAGTTGAGTCAGATCCTCACTTTTCACTGTTCAGCTTTGACAGCAGCTGCCTACGTATCACTCCTTTCTCTGACCCTGGTCCCTGAAGCTAGGTCAGAACTCACAGTGCAAAGGGGCATGGCCCTCCAGACTGCCAAGTAGGGTAAAGAGTACAGATGCCAGCCACAGGCTTGGGTATTGTCAGGACATCTACATTTCTAACCCACTGGTTACAAATTTGGGGTGCTCACTCTACCCCTTCATGATGCCAGCCACAAACTTGGGGGTCCCCTGGCTTCCTCATATTGACTCCTGTTCCTCAGGATGACAACGACAAACTCAAGGAATCCTGACCCCCTTCACTCTGACCTGCTGGATCTCACTACTCCTTTGGGCTAAAAAATTTGTTGGAACGACTCGCAGATTCACAGAAAGCACTATTTTCCCAATTACAGCTGTATTGTAGGAGAAAGGCTACAAACACATAGGGTGAGGTCTTAAGAGGCTTCCCAACGTGGAGCTTCCATGGCCAAAAAAAAGGGATACACTA